GCGGGCTGGTCTTCTCTAGCTACATACCCCCTTTCGCGCGGTCGGACATGCCTTTATTGTTGAGGAGATGGCGAGTTACTGGTGGTTCTCTTATGTGTATGAGCTAGGCTTTACCATCAATTGCTGTTAACGACAAGATGCGCGAGGACTCGAACATGAACATCTCGGGGGCCGTATTTTTGCAGTGGCTCCAAATAGACCGTCCCCCCGCGGAAGCGGTCACTGCTGGTTGAGGTGGACGCCATCCTTGCAGCAAATACATGGGCAATCAGGAAAAAAAGTCCGACCACGAGGGAATTGTTTTTTTCTAGAAAATACGCGTCCCTCGTCCTCAACCATATACGCCGCTCTTTTGTGGAAACGCTTTCGCAGATGTACCAGGGGAGACTTTTCGAGAACGAGGAGTCCCGGATTGGGAAGCGCTGCTACGGGTGCAGCATCCATTACCACTACGTTTCGGACGACCCTAACAGCCCGGAAGCGTACGGTGGGGCCAAGATGGTCCACTCCGCCGTCACCGAAATGCTCGCAAACGTGCGTGTCGCAAACGCCTGTTCAGAGAGAATCCACTCCCCTTGCGAGTAACCAACAAGGATATGTGCCCTTCGCCGTTCGAATCCAAGTCTTATATTCTTTTTCAAGCGCTATGGTTGTGATTGAAGTAGAGGCATGCTATAACATGTGGTGGGCAGTTTCTTGGGTTGGGTTCAAGAGGAGCAAGCCTTTGGGCTCGTCCTTCATTATGTTGATTTCGTCCCTGTCGATAATGACGACTGTTGTCGTTTTCGGTCTAATTTCGACTTCCGAGTCACCAAGGCGACGGATGGTGGGGCAGGTCAGTCTAGTTCCAATATTTGCGGGTGCCGTTTGGCTCTCAAACTTTTTTTGGCCAATTTTTCTCGTCTCCTATTACTTTAGACCACCGGGATACGCAAACGCCCCAGCCACCACGATCAAAATAAGCGTACTTGGTTTTTCTTTTCCTTCGCGCCGGCTTCGCTGATGTGTTTCTTGGCCGCCTGTCATTCTCGTCGCAGGTGTTGATATCAAAAGCTGTCGGTACCAAGGCTGCTCTGCGCGAGAGAGCAGGCACTCAATCATCGGATGCCACCTCTACGGCGGAAGAGCGAAAGGCAGACACAAGAACTTTCGAGGTGAGGATCGACTGTCACACCAAAGCGTGGCACTGCTGCCGCCCCTGCTACCGTTTGCTCGTGTTTGACGTGTCGCCCAAATGCTGAAGAGGCGAGAGAATGTCAGTTCAGACGGACTTATGGAGCGCATGAGCCCGTTGGAAGATATTTTGCATGGATATTCCACAGTTGTTTGCCAAGTATGGTCCGGCATGTCCTGCGAAGATTCGACCGTAGCATACGAGTAGTTCTTCGTGCCTTGAGATCCATCCTCCTTCTGCCCCCGATCACCTCCTCGCGCTCGCTAACCGCTGTACGGAGAGACTCCCCCACCCCCCTCCCGTGCATCCACCAAAAATGCACTTCGATGACATCAAGGGGTAAAACTAGAGACGTGAGTCTCTTGAACCTGACCAACCGCAATGTTCCATCAGATTTTGAGACGCTCGTGCCTTCTTCCCTGTTGCCATGTCGTGCTTGACCCCTTCCCTCATGTCTCCGCAGCTGTGCACGGACTGCCCGGCCTCCCTCATCCCGCTGCACGTCAAGCCGTCGCCGCTGCTGAAGTGCGACACCGTGTCCGCTCTTCCGGGGAACGCGACCGTGGGCAAGGCGTGGGACGACGAGCGCTGCCCGGACTGGTGCATGGCCAGGGAGCCAGAACGGCAGGCGTCGAAAGGAACTGGCCTCGTCGACGTCCGGGTCTGCGAGACGTCAAGCACAGGAGAGGGCCACTCCTGATGTCCCTGCTGGTGGAATCGTTTCTAGCGCTTGCGTGGCCACGGGGGATCGGATGGAAGCCTCACCGGTCTCGTACACGCCCGGGTTAGTGAAACGTCCGCATAGGAGATCAGGCCTCTGCCTTATGGGAATCCGGAATTTGCCGGAGTGCTGCATGGCCATGAGATTCGGTGGGCAACGAAACGGTCTTGTTGAGGAATCCGGGTTTCTGCGCGAGTACGACCGCGGCAGAGTTGACAACGACAATTTCTAGCAATGTGGAACCAACGGGGCTGGCGCCGTACATGGTCTCTGGGACCGATCGGAGAAGGCTACTGGTTCTCGTTGGAAAACCGGGCCGCCGGGACAAACACCGCGGCTGATCGGCTACAATGTTCTGGAAACCAACCGCTGCTGCGAATTCTCTGCTTTCGCCATGGCGAAACTTTCTTCGCTTGGAGCAAGGCCTCCGGCAATCGCTGGAGATAGGGTGCGATATTATCTTGGAGAGATTCTCGGGCTCCAGGGAGGCGTAGAAGCAACACGAGAGGGAATGGGTGTAGCAAGCTTCGAGGCGTGAGGGGCGGTCGAGCCAGCAGCAGGATTGACCAGAGTCTTGTGGGCCAATGGCCATGAGATGCAGTTCGACTGTGTGGCAGGAAACTCGGAGAGGTTGGCAAGGTTCCTGCAGTAGCAGCTTTTTTTCATATCAAGACAAGATATTCATGTCGTGATTTCAGGCGGAAAACTCGGGCCACCCATAAACATCGTTCGATCAATACAATTTATTTTTTCCGGGGCCCGTGAAAGTTCAATACTCTTTCATTGTTTTTCCGCGTTGTCTCCAAGCCACGGAAGTGTCGACGATTCGAGGATCTTCAGCTTCAATGGTCCTGTTCGAGCAAGTGCCGAACCGACTTCAAAGTTAAAAACATGTTGTACGTATGGGTCGATCATCCATACGCATCTTCTCTCTCTTGGTGTTTTCTTGTGTAGGAAGAGAGGGCAGACGTTCGTCGATTGACTGGCCGACAGATTTTTATGGCGGCACAGGCGGGGTTCCGTGACCGCCTTGTTTTCTACACCATGCTGAGCCTCAGGGTGTTTAGAGTGTGATAGGTGGTTGTCGTTGTTGTTGTTTTTTTGCTGTTTTCGTGTTGTCCTTGGGGTGCTGTGGCTCTGGTGGAGCACGATACAGCACACCCGTAGAGAATCAGGCTATGAAATGTTCCGGTTCTGGGGTGGTTGGGAAGGAACGTACTCCGTATAAGTAGGTATGCACCCATTACTCGTACAGCGGGCAGTCAGGATGCGTAACCAGCTTGTTGAGGGCGGTAGTTGCCCTGAGGTGATGTTGGACGTGGCGTGTGTTATGCTGTACCCCCCCCCCCCCCCCCCCCCCCCCCCCCCCCCCCCCCCCCCCCC